CTGAGACGCAGGTAAAGCTATACACCTGTGCCACCAAAACAAAAAGGAAAAACATAAACATTGACTTTGACTCTTACAATCAGTCATTAAATTAAATGAGAGGCTTTAATTATTAAATCTGTATTAAATAGTTGTTGTTTACATGTGAAGAGATCCTTTTTCAAAGGCTATTTCACTGGATCATCTTTTCTAAAGAATCTAACAGGTTAAATGAGGATAAAATGATTGTCAGCAGTGACTGAGTCTGCCATCCCACCTACCAGAAAGTATTATATGACTATATGACTGTCCATGAGGTCAGTCTCACTGTGATTAGCACTGGATTAGCTTACTGCTACTAAACACTGAGCATGCGTGTCAACAAAAGAGACATTTATAGCAATGTTTCCTCTTCACACAGTTAGCTGGTAGATGGCAGGCATCTGACTGCGGGGTAAACTGCTGTATATGTGTCACAGTACTGGATGTGCGACCCAGTGTTTTGTCTATTTTAGGGTTTTTTGTTGATAACTATTTTTCTCCATGTTTCTGTTTTATTTTGAAAGAGTCTGATGCAATCTTGTTCGTTGGTGTTAGTTTGACTTTCCCTGTGACGTCATGTTTCATTTCAGTCAGCTGTTTTCCTCATGTGTTTTCACTTCCCCTGAACACATCCAGTGTGTTCATAGTTGATTATAGTTTTTCACAATCTGTCTTAGTTGTACCTAGTTTTTCATGGTTTCATGTTACTGCTACCATCAGCCAAAATAAAGGCTTTTTCTTTTACCTGCATCTCCTCTCTCTGCATCTGCTTCTGCGTCCTGTTCACGACCCATCGGCGCACCCCGCCGTGACACATCAACATGTGGCCATGCAATAAAGACCTTCCTTACCCATGTCAGTAAAGGGGCTCTGTAGCTTCATGATTAGTTTGCGGTTTTTCTTCCTTCACTTTGATTTGTGTTTGTGGACATATAATGTGCGTAACAGGGCGTGGTTTGTGGCACGGTTGCGAAAGGAGGCTGACACAGCGGAGCTCCATCAGTTCAGTTGTGTTGTTGTTGTGTGTGTGTAGCTGGGGCTGAGGGTTGGAAGAGACACAAACTGAGTAAAAAGTGTAGTAAAGTGCGATCTGTGTGGTCGGGTCCGTCATTCATGGTCACTATGTGCAATGTACACTTTCCATTAATCTCACAGTGGAAAATTCCTGGAAATCAAAGTCAAATGTTTATCAGTAGAAGAATCAGACTCCTGTTAAACATTATATTTGTACTAAATGTGTGTGTAAATATGGTGTCTGTAGATTTGTGACTGTGTTTCTGTTGTACTTTATTCCTGTATGAATATTAAAAACTTGACTGAAAGTATTAAAAAATGTATTTGCATTGCTTTACAGAAAAAGGGGGAAATGGTAGGACTGTGGGGGAAAGCGTGATCACCTCAGTTAAACAACTGGTGTAATTCTATTAGGTTCATCTTTAAGGAACTCTGCATGTCTCCAAATAGCTTTGAATGTCTTTGAAATGAGAAGAATACAAATAGAAAAAGACAAAAAGTGGACACATGCAGACAAAGTAAAGAGATGAATATTCAGTAAGCTATAAAGATCCAAAGCTCTCTCAGTTTTTCTCAAATGTGTGTGAGGACTGCTTGTTTGTGTTCTTGGATGCACTTAGTAAATCCAACAGCTCAGCTATTGTTGTTTGTTGTTTGTAAAAGTTGCAGGAAGAACAAACTTCTTAAACAGGAAATGAAACAAAGCACAAATTCAAAGTTTTTTTTTATTTTATTTTTGTTTTTTAACTCAAAATGTCCTGTTGTAACTGGACTTTTTGAGTTAAGAAACAGAACAAATCCCAACAACACTTCCCTCATGGTGCTTTATATTGTAAAGTCAGACCCTACAATAATGCACAAAGACTCCAACCCCCTAGAGCAGGCACTTTGGCGACAGTGGGAAGGAAAAACTCACTTATAAAGAGAGAAACCTCCGGCAGACCCAGGCTCTGGGATGGGGTGGCCATCTGCCTCGGCCAGTTGGTGATGAGGGAAGGAAGTTGGGAAAAAAGAGTAGTTATTTTTAACCACTCTGGTTTCAAAATCACATTTAGAAAGCCCAATTGAAATGAATATTTGAAGCCAATTTAAGAGTTTTCTCACATAATCACATGCACGTGTTGGTTAGACTTTAGCGTGCACATGAGAAAGCCCTAAAGATGATGTTTTGGCTCCTCAATTTTGCATGTTTTTTGAAGCTGCTGACGATTGCTTCATCCATTACTGGGTTTCTTGACCACATTAAGAGTACTGGAGAATCCCACCTGTCATGGAGTTCATTGTATATTGTCAGGGCGAGTTCTCCAATGTTCTCCAAGGACATTTTGTACTTTTTTGACAAAATTTTGTTCCAGATCTTCTGGAAAAGCCTCTCTACAATGAACTCGGATGCTACTGGATTCATTGTCGTCGTCTCATTTCCTTTGTTGATGGCGTGCATTACCAGATCTTTGGTCACATTTTTTACAACTTCCTTGTACTCTTGCCTGTCTTTAGAGACACCGAGTACTCTTGCTGGTAATGCCAACAGGTGTTTGGTGAAGCTTGAGACGGTAATATTGTCAAGCTGTTCCCTCAGATTAAAGATCAAAAGGTTTTCTTTGCAGTTGTGTGTTTTGCAAAGATCTTTGAGAATGGCCTTGCCCACTTTGAAAATGCTGTTGTGGGATAAATTCAAGTGTTTCTCCTCAACTTCAGGCCAGATTTTCTCAATCAGACGATGGCTGATGCAGTCAGGAGTGAGGCGCTCTGTGAAGATCTTGTATTTGGAGGAGACTTTTTCTTTGGCCAGTAAAACCACCAACTGAACAACCCAGTTGACGCGCACCTTTTTCTGCAGCTTCAGTGTCTTTTCCAAAGCTGATACTTCAGCCTGGTTGGTC